CTAATGCATCTTAATGTATGAAACAACGCATATTATCCCAACTGCATCTTTATTCCCCAGCAGTTACAGTTGGCTGAACAGGTTTAAAAACATGTGAAACCCCAAAAACTGAGATGCGCATGTATACAGAACACGGGCTGTGTATGTACTACTACACTGCCTACCCTGCCAGCTGAAAAACAGTAAACCTCTTTAGCCCAGAAAAATCAGGAACAGAAAGGTCAATAAAGCGTATCCAGCAAAATCTATGCTAGATTGTGTGTCACCTGCAAATATTATGTCACTGAAACAGAATGGATAACGATAACCACTTCTGGACCAGCAATATACCCGTACGTCACTGGACTTTCCGTGGTTATACCGGAGGGATGCCTGCAGATGCAGACATAACCCCGGTACTGTGTTTAAGAGCCAGAGGTTGGCTTTCTTGTACAAGCAATTGGAGCGGCTACTAGCTGCTCAATTGCTCGTACAAGTATTGGGAGGGGACACTCCTGCTGCCCTCTCACAATCTCCCATCTCCCTGGGGGTCCCGAGCAAACAGCTGGAGCGTCCGCGGACTGGCCAGACAACTAAACAAAGCCGGAATAGGTTTTTATTGGCTCTCCTTTATTGTAAACTGGCAGAGATGACCTGACATAATTTCTGGTTTACTCAGAAACTTTCACCATTTTTAAAAATCTGAACACATTCAAGAACACTGATCTTTGTGTTTTGATTGCGTGCAAGTGCAGAGGAGGGATATGGGGTCCCATAGATCCCTCCATAAAAATACGTGTGACGTATCTATTGCTGTTACAGGGGATTTTCACATTCCTTGTGACAGCAATAAAAGTTGACAGTGTAAAAATTAAAAATAAAAAAAAATTATTAATTAAATAAAATTAAGGTGCCCCTATTCCCCATGCTCGCGCACAAAGGCGACTGCACGCATCGGTCCTGCACATATGTGAGGTATCACCATGATCGTCAGATCATAGACAGTAATTCTATCATTAGACCTCCTCTGTAAATCTAAAGTAAAGGCTTTTAAAGCGCTGCCTATGAAATTTACGCCATTGTCGCCGTTGCGCAGTCATGCACAATTTTAAAGCGTGACATGTTTGGTATCTATTTACTCGGCGTAACATCACTTTTTTCCCCAAAACAATTGGGTTATGTACTGTTTCTTTGCAGTGAAATTCAAAACAGTGTATTTTTTCTGAAAAAATTGCTTTTAAAAAAACCGATGAGCAAATACTAGGAGACGTAATAAAAAAGCAAGAAACACCAATTTATTCTCTAGGGCCTCTGCTTTAAAAAAATATATAATGTTTGGGGGTTCTAAGACATTTTCTAGCAAAAAATACTGATTTTAACATGTAAACAAAAAGTGCCAGAAATGGCCTGGAGCTAAAGTGAGAACGTGGACAAATATTTATTCAATTCACTGTGAGCCTTACATAAGTTAACACTTTTGTACAATTTTTGTTATGCCAAGAAACTGAAAGCCTGTTGTATGGTGATTATACCTAACACCAGGGGCAGACTGACCATTTGGAAACTCGGGTACTGCCCGAGGGCCCGGGATCAGTAGGGGGCCCCATGAGATGCCCCTGGTACCTTTTTCATAGGCTTTTTTGAGTTTGGGCAAGGACACAGGGGTCCCATGATCCCCTATTGCCCGGGGGCCCCATGAGTTTTGTTAGTCCGCCCCTGCCTAACACTGACATTAACACTGAAAAAATATTGTTAAAAATACGATTCACTAACTACCAGAACAAACACAGCATGTGATACATTTCAGACATTTAATTTTAACCACAGAAATTAAAGGGAATCTGCAACAACAGAAATATGACATTGCTGACGTATTAAAGTACAAGCTCTGAAACTGTCATATAGCTAGTCAGTTGCAAAACTGGAACAAGCATGTAGTCAGTGAAGTCAGTGAACTCCATCCTACGTATTAGCTCCAGGTCACCAATTCCCTAGATAGGTATGCTGGAATTATGGTGACAGATTTTGTACATGCATTCATTAGGTTATTAATGTCAATATGCATATTCCTATCTTCATAAGTTCCCTTTAAAAAACACTCCAGTTCTAGGACGGTAGTAGGCCTGCGTATGTGAATTTTAAAGTTGTAAAAGAATCCCTTCAGCTGGAAATATGTGTTGAGGTGGTTTAGTTGCAAAGAGTACAATAAATACATATCAGAAAGAAATAGGTAAGTGACTGACAATGTTCTGTATCTTTATGCTACTTACACCAGTGGTCAGGAACAAGGAAAGGTGCTTATGTAGCAGAGCCTGGTTTTCTGGGTTCCCATGACAGAATTTCTGCAGAAACTGGTGTGTATTCTTCAAAATCTCTTTCATCTTCATGTCTCCCTGTACAAAGGTATATATCAGTTAGTAACCTGAAAATATATCATTCTGATGCTTAGCTGTACTTACATGTGAGACAGCTGAACCTTTAATGTATATTTCTGTCAACAAACCTTGCCTGTGCAAGATCAAACTTTGATGCTTGAAGAAATAAGACTTAGATATATCTGTAGTTGTTTTTTAAGTAAATGGAGGCAGCATTTTTTAACTAGTTGAAGTGCTGGGGGAAAAATGTTTGGTGCAGCATGCTATGGCAGCAGCCAATCAGATTTGAATTTGGCCAAGTGAAATCAGTAAAAAATATGACCTGTGATTGATTGTTATAGATTGATACACTTTGCACTGTCATATTATATTGGCTTTTAAAAAATACAATCTGTAGGAATTCTCAGAATTTTTATATGAATTGCTACTGCATGTGATTTGATTTATAAAATATTGTCATATTTATAAAAACAGTCTTATATAACAAAGAACACATGCAATATTTCACATTATCTTTACTGGACAAACAGTACAATGAGGGTCCTTGATAGTAGAAGAATGTTGGCCTCTAAGATAATTTTGAAGCTGGTAACTGGAGTATTCCAATCAAAGAGACAGCTGTTTGAATCAGTTCAGGTGGTGTTTTGACTTGAACTGCATTATGGCCCAATCAAAAATGAGCTCAGAAGACAAGTTCTTAAAGCTCATAAAACCACAATTGGTTTCAAAAGGAACTTTAAGCCCATTGTCAGACAGAGTACAGAAAAAGAGAAATTGCCCTAGACATTGGAGAACTACTGTCCCAACTATTAGAGAATGGTTAAAAGAATTTTATTACGTTATAAGAATTGAAGAGCTGACTGCCTGTCTATATGAGCACCAATCAAAGTTTACAGCCCTGTGGTTTGTTTGGATTGATTTCTCTACTACTTATAAACTCCAACCTTTCATCTGATTGTTCATACAGCTTATTTTCCAGCTTTTTGCCTTACTCTACACATTATATCACAAAACCCCACACTGTAGACTAAATTAGCCATGAAAACAATTTAGCACCTCACCACCTTCAATTCAAAATAAATACATATACTTATGCTGAGAAGTCACTGCTGCCACCTTGTTAAATCAAAAAATATATCAATATGTGGAAAAACAATGTGTCCACCTCACAGTGGCGCTGTGATTAAAGTAGAATGTGAAAATATTATATCAATAAAGTCCTCAAATAAAGTCCACAAAAGATAGTGCAGGGAAAAGGTGCTTCAATTCTTCCCACAAAAATCTTCTGCACTACACATCACAATTGCTTTCGAGGTCCCCCCCCCCCTACAGACAGAAAAACTGACCAGAACCTTATGCCACACATTCTCATGACTGGCATAGCTCGCATTGTTTATAATTACACCTCAGTTCCAGGATATCACATCATCTGATCACTCCTCCATCTGGCTCAATAATCACCATAAATTCATGTGAAAGAGAAAGAAACAGCCTCCAATAGTGAAGTAAACAACCCTTAATTTATTAATAAAAAGTCACTCACAATTTAAAACAAATTGTGTTTTTAAACAGTGCTTCTTCAGCTGTCCTTTCGGAATGCACTGGCTTCTCTGCCATGTCACTTCCTGTTCCAGTCCTGACGCCACTTCCAATCGCTGTGCTCCAGCACATTTCATCACTTCCGACTTCATCACAGAGGAAGACAAAGGTGGTGAGACAGCTGAGGGACCACTGTTTGTGCCGGCCTGACGGCATTTTGAATGTAAATGAGTGTGCTTTTCGGTTTTAAATTGTGAGTGGCTTTTTATCAATAAATTAAGGGTAACTGGTTTACTGTACCATTGGAAGTTTATTCTTTCTCTTTCATATACATTTATGGTTAATAATAAGCTGGATGGAGGAGTGATCCGATGACGTGATATCCTGGAACTGAGGTGTAATTATACACAAAGCCAACCAACCAAACTGATACGAGGCATGGAGGAGCTCAGCTATGAGGAAAGATTAGAGGAACTGAATTTATTCTCTCTTGAGAAGAGGATATTAACCACTTCCAGACCGGACACTTTTACCCCCTTCCTGACCAGGGCAATTTTCAGCTTTCAGCGCTATCACACTTTGAATGACAATTGCGCAGTCATGCAACACTGTACCCAAATTAATTTTTTACCATTTTTTTGCGACAGAAAAAAGCTTTATTTTGGTGGTATTTATTCACTGCTGGGATTTTTATTTTTTTTGCTATGTAAATGAAAAAGTCCAAAAATTTTGAACAAAAGTGTTTTTTTTTATAAAATTTTTGCAAATAAATAATATTTCATCATAAATCTTTGCCAAAATGTATTTCGTTATCTTTTTAGTAAAAAAAAAACAAAAACAAATTAGTTTATAACCAAAAATTATAATTTTTAAACATTTTTTTTTACATTTTTATTTTATTTTTTTATATTATTATTTTTTATTAATTTATTTTTTTTACATACTGTCACCCTAGCAGTACAGTGTCACCATGGTGACACTGTACTACTTGTGGAGGGTGATGAAGATTTTTTTTTTTTTTTACAATGATTGCTTTTACACCCATATAGGATGTAAAAGCAATCATTTCTCTTTCTCTCTGTGTGCATTCCTGCACTCATTGAGAAATACAGAGTGAGCTGTGATTGGTCACAGCTTGTCACATGGTACAAGGCTGTTGTGAATAGCCTTGTACCATGTGACCTCTGTGATCATTCACAGATTTCACACGTAGTAAGCAATGATGTCACAAGTGACATCTTGCTTACTACTTTGCATGTGATCGCTGATTGGCCAATCAGTGATCACATGATCGGGACCTCGTACAGAGGTCCCGTCCGACGATCGGTGTTTCACTGTGTCCGGAGGACACAGCGGGCACCGGATCGCGGTGCTGTGCGCTCCCAGGGAGCGCGCACAAGCAGGGTGCGGGGAGGCCGTTCATAAACGACCACCCGACCCTGTACTGCCAACTGATTGGCTAATCAGTGATCACATGATCGGGACCTCGTACAGAGGTCCCGTCCGACGATCGTTGTTTCACTGTGTCCAGAGGACACAGCGGGCACCGGATCGTGGTCCCAGGGAGCGCGCACAGCTATAAAAGGCGGGTGCCGTTTATGAACGGCAACCCGCCCCTGGAGTGCCACCGTCCTGCCGTTTATAAACAGCAGTGGCAAGTGGTTAAGGGGGGATATGATCAACATGTATAAATACATCAGTGGTTCATATAGTGAACTCAGTGTAGAGTTATTCACCTTGAGGTCACCACAGAGTACAAGGGGGCACTCTTTACATCTGGTGGAAAATAAATTTAATCTCCAAATATGGAAAGGTATCTTCACAGTAAGAGCTGTGAAAAAATGTGGAATAAACTCCCTCAAGATTTGGTTCTGGCCAGCTCAGTGGATTGCTTTAAAAAAAATCCGGGATTGTTTCTTGGATACACAGAATATAACTGGTTACTAACATTTATAGGTAAAGTTGATCCAGGGAATATACGATTGCCTCTTCGGATATCAGGAAGGAATTTTTTTCCCCTGCAGGAGCAAATTGGATCATGCTTTGCTGGGGTTTTTTTGCCTTCCTCTGGATCAAAACTGTGGGTATAGGATTATAACTTTTTTTTTTTTTTTGGTTGAACTGGATGGATTTTTGTCTTTTTTCAGCCAGACTAAGTATGTAATGAAGAGCTATGCCAGTCATGAGAACGGGTGGCATAGGGTTCTGGTGAGTTTTTCTGTCTGGAGGGAGAGGGTCCTCACGAGCACTTGCACTGTGTGGTGGAGGAGATTTTTGTGGGAAGAATTAAGTCACCTTTTCCCTTCACAATCTTTTGTGGACTTTAAGGCCTTTATTGATATCATATTTTCATATTCTACTTTCATCACAGAGCCACTGTGAGGTGGACACCTTGTTCTTTCACATATTAATATATTATTCTTCAACATACTGATGGCGGACAACCAAGCCAGGAGATTTCCCTCCCCTTCCCCCCTCTTATTCTTTTTCTGCTTCTTGTACCCCCTTCTTACCTCTCACAGTCCCCCTCCATTCCTCTTATCTTCTTGACTTTCTCTCACACTCAGGCACTGTAAATATCTTGCTATGTGGCCCATACACCCCCTCAGCCACCTCTCAATGTAAGGTACACCCGGGTCAAAGACCTCTAAAAGAAAGGAATATCGGATCTGCTATCGCATATTGCAGTCTATTTCTGTTTATGACCCTTGGGGTAATTTGGCTCTGGATATTTTGCTTGTGATCTACTTACCAGTTTTTCTACTATATGGCACCTACCGTATGTGACACATTCCTTTGTGAACTTACTGTCTACATTTTCTGTTCTACCTTGGAAGTTAATAAACTTTATTCTTTAAAAAAGAGAAATTGACCACCACAGCTTCTACCTTCAAAAGCTGACAAATAATTATAGGAAGACAGATAAAGCTGGCCATAGATGGGTAAAAGTTTGAACAAACATTCTTTGGAAAAAATGTTCTAGGAAAGTTTGTTCATTTTTCTAATCATTAGTGGGTCAAATCAATGTTTGTTTTCGACCACAGTGACAAGAAAATTCAAAAGAGCAGGATGGAATATTTTTCTCGAATTAATGAATTTCTAACATTGCATGAGATTTTCATTTACTAAACTTCGTTCATTTCAAAATCAAATGTTAAAAGCAAACTAAATCTTTTCAACAAAATTCAAATGTTCTGAAAATATTCATACAGTTTTTTCTTAAGACTTTTCTTAAGAATCTTAATTCGAAATTCGCACTACTGAAATTATTTTCAGTGAACAAGTACATACAATTTGAACCTTAAACTGAGCAGTATTTTTGTAATTTGGAATGTTCCATAAAAAAAAACACTGTCACTGAAGCTTAATGGTGTAAAGCCACTTTCCTGCCTCTATTAAGATCCTCCAATTAGGGAGGGGCCATCATTTGCCTGTTTAATGATCTTTTACACACTTTTCTGGCATGGCATAATCAACTTTTCTGCAACTTGCATCACTGTCCCTGTTTTGTATGTCTAACATCTCTTTTATACATCTCTTGCTATTTAGCCATCAGTTTTAACATAGAATTTCACATTAGACTTCATCTCAAATGCAGCTGGGACACAAAAAACTGGTGTAAAATCAAAAAGTTAACAAAAAAGTCCCCCATGTTTGAACAACCAACTCAGCTTTCTGGAATCAATACCAAGAAAATGCTTTGGCGGGTTCCAGAGCAGGCTGTTTTTTTTATAAGAGATCCAAAATATACACATGAACTGAAAGTTTTTTTATGCAGAAATTAAAAATATCTCATAATCTCTATAGACCCAGTGTGATATTCACTCAGCACTTTTCACTGTGGATGAACTTTTTTTTTCTTCATTTTAGAGTTGTTCACTTATAATATTTTAACCATTTATGGTTTGGATGGTGTGGAATATTACACATATAAATGTATTTTATAGATTTTTTAATTATTATTTTCTTTTTATTTAGAGATTATGTATTGAGTTTGGGCACAGATTGATTCTTTACTGCACTTTTGCTGATACACATATATTTAAAGAGTGCTGCTTCTGAACATTTTTTTTTCACTGGTTATTATCACCTAGCGCGGATTTATGTTTTTTATGTATGTTAAGTCAGACTGCTTTTCTTGATTATTATGGAGGCGTAAAGGAAGCAGGAATGCCCCTAATATTCTTCATTATTGTGACTTTGTTCATGCAGAAATCTAGAAAATCCAGTTTCAAAAACACTTTTTTGCATTTGTAAATCTTAAGACACAGCAGCAGATGTTGCCCTACTTTACATTTTTCCACTAACAAATGCAGCTCTTTCACTGGAAACTAAAAATTAATTGAAGGACATAACAGATACTATTTATAATATATTTATAATACACACTGCCTAATTGTGAGCATCAAAAAAGGCATCAAAAAGTAATTTAAAAGCATAAACTGAAATACAAATACTGCTGAAGTACACAATATTACTGTTGTTTTTACAGTGGTATAGTTGTAAAAAATAATATAATAAAAGAGCTTTGTTGAAAAAAAATGTGCTAAATCTTGGAAGGCTTTTTTGTTACTGGGGATAAGAAGGACACAGTTACCACTTTTATGTTCTACACTTTATAAAGCAAAGTCTTCTAATCAATGCTAGAAAAGTAGAACCACTCCATTTTATCAACCTGGAATCATTTCAGTGAGGGTCATATGTACTGTTTAGATCTGCCAACATAAAGCACTCTAAATTGTGTTTGTGTAACGCATTCATGAACTTTATAGCAGGTGCCATAAAACTGAAGTAGCGGTTCCTGTTTTTGCAAGCTTTCCCTCAATGCCTTAATGCAAATAGTCAATCCCATTAAACATGAATATATTATTCACACTAAACATTATTCTGATGCATACTATAGGCATCTTCTTGCCACTACATCAACATTTGAACCAACGATCGTGCAAAGTACATTACATATCTGTCTATTGCTGCACAGTGCATTTAAATGATTAGTATATCCATGCACAGCATTTGTGAGTGCGCTTTTCTGATTCATTTCCTAGAACAGCACCTTTTTGCGAGCTATAGCTATAACTCACTCTCAAGATAAGAAATCAATTTATCGCCCAGGCCTTGTCAAACATTTTTTTCAGGGGCAATTTCATGTGAATTGAGGATAATTTGGAAGAAAAAATGTCCCATTTATAATTTGTGCCTCATTTAGATCCGCAGAGCCTGAGGAAGCAAAGAAAGCAAAGCTAACTCTAAACTACAGCTATAATTTACATTCTACAGGCACTTCTAGAATGTTCAAGAGATGTGCTCAGAGGGAAAAGGAAAGCAATGGAGCAACCTTGTAAGGGTCCCTTTGCTTTTTGTTACCTTATTACCACTGCTGAACATATGAAGACAGGTATAACTAAAGGCTGATTTATTTCTAATACATACTTTTATTCACTATAGATATACATATATGTATAGATCATACTGAAATAAACATATGTTATAGTAGGGAAAGCAATGTACACTATTTTGCCAAAAGTATTGAGACACCACTACTTGGATTCAAGTGTTCCAATCACCTCCATGGTCACAGGTGTATAAAATCAAGCACCTAGGCATGCAGACTGATTCTACAAACATTTGTGAAAAGATGAGTCGCTCACAGGAGCTCAGTGAACTCAAGCGTGGGTACTATGATAGGTTGTCACTAGAGATGAGCGAATCGAACATGGCGAAGTGGAATTCGTTTCGAAGATCAGGAAAAATTCGATTCGCGCCGAATCCGAAAATTAGCAAACTTCGGATGCACGAATCGAATTTTCCCAAAAATGTGTGGCGACGGAGCGAGGATCTCTGGGAAGGCGCGCAGACAAGGCGCGCTGACCCATAATGCATTCATTCATGACATGTGATCGCATTAGCCAATCAGCAGCCAGCCAGCCAGCACTGTGTAATGGTGGAGCTATAAATTGCGGCCATCTTAGAATTCTCCATTAGCCTCCGGTCATTCAAGAGAGACAGACCTCTGTGTATTAGGGACAGAGTTAGGGCCACAGAGACTTTAGGGGCCACAGAATCTCGTTACTTAAGGGACACAGAATCGTTTACTTAGGACACAGAAAATCGTTACTCAGGGACACAGAATTGTTAACTCAGCGGACAAAGAATTGTTACTCAGAGGACACAGAATTCGTACTCACGGACATGACACATTAATACAGAATTGTTACTCAGCGATACAGAATTGTTACTCAGGGACACAGAATTGTTACTGAAGGGACACAAGAATCGTTACTCAGGGGACACAGAATTGTTACTCAGGGACACAGAATTGTTACTCAGTGGACAACACAGAATTGTTACTCAGGGACACAGAATTGTTACTCAGGGACAGACACAGATCGTTACTCAGGACACAGAATTGTTACTGAGGTGACACAGAATCGTTACTGAGGGACAAAGAATCGTTACTGAGGACACAGAATCGTTACTCAGGGACACAGAATTGTTACTCAGGGACACAGAATTGTTACTCAGGGTACACAGAATTCGTTGAATTAAACAGTATTGTCATACAACACGCAGAGGTAGTGGCAGAGGAGGCAATGTTCAGGAGCGAGCAGACGTGGCAGCAGAGGAAGGGGGTCGAGGCAGCACTATTCTGTCGCATTCTCTCAT